CAAATCCTCGAGATTCTTTACATTATGATACCACCAAAATAACGCTGTGGTACGACCAAAATAACACCAAATCCTCAAGACATTAGCTTTACATTATGATACTACCAAAATAACACTGTGATACTACCAAAATAACACCAAATCCTCCAGATTCTTTACATTATGATGCCAGATACTATCAAAATAACATCAAACCCCAACTAATATTTCCTAAATAACACCACATCCCACCCAACCGAAACTTAGCGTTAAAACTCATCCAAAAATAGAGCAAACTTCATTAGCAATAAAATAACTCCTTAAAACCTAGAACTGTATTCAAACATCCTTCGTTAAAAAAATCTACCTGTCGATGCCCTTCTGCCGCATCTAAACTCTGCTCCACCTCATTATTCTCGGAAATATTCTGAGATTTCGTCTCATTGTTATGATTCTCAGAAGTATTTTGAGATTCCACCAACATTTCTTCGTCGAAATTTTTTTCCATCGAACCAGCTCCAGCGAACATGAGCGAAAAAATGAGAATATACCAGATACCAATACCCTAAAGCAGACAAAATGTCACTTTCTTCTGTTGGCGGGAATCGAAAATGACAAAAAAGCGCTTTTTTTTGTTTTGGGCGGGATCGGGTCGGGTCGGAATACATGAAAAAACTTATTTTTAAGCTGTAAAGCCACGTGGAATCGCATTCCACGTGGCAAATTTTTATTCGGTACCGCATGTAAGGCTTCATGCGGTGCACGTACCGAATAAAAATTCCTTCACATCACACATAAACCACTTTCTATAAATTAGCAATACTTGAGCAAAATATGTCAAGAGGTATAGATTGATCTAGAGGATGATGAAACCTTGATAATTGAATTTTTTTTTTTTCTCTTGAGGGATCTACTCTCTTGATTTCTAGATAGTTGTTGTTTCAAAAGAATGAGTTATAGGAAACTATGAAGTCGCGTACAATTTCATTTGTCTTGTACATTTATGCTTGAGAAGATGTCTAAAAAATCCTTAAGAAAATGACTTTTAAGTACTCAGCTATGCTTCGAATTTTTATTTTTGTAAATTTAATAATAAAAAATGCACTCCACATATGTAAATCTCTGAACCCCGTCTCTTGTTTGATAGCCTAAACACTCAATGAAAAAGGCTAAGATGGCTCCCATTAATTTGAAGTTATCATTCATTAAATGTGCCATAGGTTGATGGACTGTGGATTAATTAATTTTGAAAACTTCACTTTTTTAATGAACTTCAATTCTTCTCATATGAGCACGAGAATATGATTTGATCATCTTTTTGCTAAAGATTGTCTTAAATTTTCTAATTCCCTCCAATATCATATCTATATAATCGACGCCACATGACATTGTTAAATTACATGCATTTGACTTATATGACTTGAAAACAAATTCATAATTGCAGTAAAAATTAAATTTATGCAAATAAAATACTACAAATCTATAACATGTTATGTGTTGCTGATAGGCACTTGCATCACATTCTACTTTCCTTCTTTCATTCAAGCATCAATGAGGTTTGCTACAGTTGATAATTTGGTTGCATCAACTGATTCAAAAATAACAACATAATGATGAATTACTTTAAAGACAAATAAAGACTTCTTTATAATTAGTCCACCTACGTAGCCAAACAAGAGTGAAATCCTCTAAATAATCCGTTTTATATATATAGCACTCAAGACATTGGTATTTACAAAACAAATACCCATGTGATTTTTTGAACAATCAACCCGAAACATTTATTAATGCCTTCAACCAAACTATTATGAATTTGATAAAAATGAAAAATATGGGTTGAAACTTTATTGTGAATTTTAATATTTGAGTGTTGCAAAATGGTGGAAAAAACGTGCAGGTGCTGGTGCTGGTTTTGCAAATACCAATGCAGAGTAATGTCAGACACCAATGGATAAAGCTTCAAATATTAATGCAAAGGCACGTCTACAAAAATAATGACAAACCAAAGTCATAGACATGATGCTTCCATCCATGCAATATAATAAAAAAAAAACTAATTGTGAATTTTGAATGAGACTGTCCTACTTGTAAGATAGACTTCCAAGAAAATTTTAATTCCTGTTTGCTATTTCTTGAACTAGCCTAAAACAAGCACTTCATTCATGCTTTCATGCTGTTTCAAAGCTGGTTCTCAGTTAGGTGGCTGTCTCATATGTCAGCCAGAAGAAAGTTCTCTGTAAGTGATACCTGTAGAAGTTGAGGTACAAATATGTCAGATGATTATCCAATTGGAAACTTTGCATACAAACCACACAAATCTTATGAATTTATATATCTAATACCTAAACTTTCATGTTTACATTTATAACATTTTGGTGTCATAAACCTAAGCATGAAAATGTGCATTTCAATTTTAAAAAACAAATTATAGAGATATTTTTAAGCGATAAAGATTAAATATGAAAGCATGGTTGTTCGATATGTAAATACATTAAAAAAAAAAAATCGTTGAAAAGCTACCTTTTCTCCCAATTTGAATGGAGGCAGACCTTTGTAAGGGCATCCGCTGCATCGGAATGCATCCCCCAGTCCACACTGCAATAACCATATAATTTGGAATTGATATAATGCTAAACTTATAAAGGCTTCATTTGAAATTCCATTAAATATTTCGATGAGCATAGAAAAATTACAATAAATAAATAAATAAATAAACTTACACTGCCACATGCAGATTGTGGATTAATTATCTGTTCTGCAGTCAGCCCCAGCTGCACTTTCTGCTCTGCCTCGGCCCTCCCACAAGTGCAGTTCTTGCATGCTTTCCTGCTGCTCCCAACCTCACAATCACTAGCTGTGCATATATGAGCGGACATCAGAATGTAAAATACAAGGATGGGGCGTTTTCATACATAGGTGTAAGGTGTATGTAAAAATCGAAGTTTGGTTGTTATATATATAATACATAGGCATTCAATGGTAAGCATGTAAATCTTCCAAATATATAAATCTAACCAGCTGGTATTTGTGGTTTCTTCAAGTCCTCCGCCGTGAGAAGACTATCTTCATCAATAAGGTCAGATTCATCATCTATCATAAGCTTGGGAAGAGCCCTATTTGCTTTCTTGATAACAAAAGATGACCCCACTGACCAAGATGCTTTTTTTCCCACAATCTAAAGAAAATATTAAGATTTCAAGATTGAGATCAATTTTAATATAAATAATAGTTAAGTATTCAAAAGCTTACTGTTGCAGAATGTGAGCCATCTAAGAATAAGACTGCTTTAGATTCCAAGGGTGCTACTTCAACAAATCCTGCTATGAGCAATTTGCGCTCCAGTGAAAACTGTAATTCAAATAAATAAAAACAAAAGATTATTTTGCAATCAATTCAAAACTGCTCAATAAAGTAATCCACATTAATAATTCAACAGAAAAAAAGAAATCTTGGAATTACCTGACCCAAGAGCTCACTAGACTCCAGAGACAACTGAACAACAATCTTTCCACTGAGTTTTAGAACTCTAATTATCTCCTCAAGCCACTGCTCATTAACAAGATCAGGTTTTTGAAATACAGAGATAATGACATCCAATGATGCGGACTCAATTGGCAACTTTCCCTCTGTCATAATATCACCATCAATTGTGTAATTTCGCAATTTAGAACTAAATCATATAAATTTTCCAAAAGAAATAAAAAGAAAAAGATAACAAAAGACAAAACATTCCAATCATCATGGTTGAGACGGGCACCATCTAAACTTTCCAACCATGATCAAATAAACAAAAAAAACCCGGGCGACCAAAAAATAAACAGATTTTCAAGCAAGAAATCAGCTGAGCTCATGGTGGCGAGAAAGACAGACGGATTAAAGAATAAACAAGAAAAATTAAACCCTATTCTTTAAGAACTTGAGCAGCAAGGAATTTCCCAAAATAATCATAAATTTTCAAAAAACAAAGATGAAAAAAAGGGATTTAAGAAGCAAAAAAGTAGAGGAAAAAAAAAACTCACGAAAGGAATTGTATTGGGTAATAACAAGGACGTCATCCTCAGCGACATAGCCGCTCCCCGAGTTCACGAACGAGGATAGTACTTCTCTGATAGGAACCGCATCAAGATCAGTAAGAAGCAGCGCGCTCGGTTTCCTGCCACTCTTCTCCTGCAACACCACGGTAACCACAAAAACCTCGAATTTTTCAGATCGCTCAAAACTCCTCAATAAACGACAAACAACGAAAGGAATACTCGCATTCCGCAAATCATGCAACAGATCCAAAATTTGACCATTTCTTGAAGGAGGAAAAAATAGCGAATCAATCACAACTGTAACCGAAATAGGTCAAAGGATAACTCACCATTTGAAGCCAGGAAGACGATCGAGCCAGAAGAAACCCTAGTTTTCTGTTTTCCTATTTCGGAGGGAACGAGGCGAACCTAGCCGCCTGCTTTAAGAGAAACGACTTCCCAGATTTTCTTGATTCCTTGAGAGATCGTCGGGCTTCCACCGGATTTTCAGAGCTCCGCGACCGCGAGTTCCAAAAAAGCGTGGGAGCTTTATGAGGCTCAGATATATTTCAAGGTATATGCTAATGATAGTCAAAGAATTCTTTATTTATTTATTAGAACGTTCTCGATGATACTTAAAAAATATATTTGGAAGTAATTATAACTAAATAGATATGAAAATTATATAATGTGTTTTTATTATCTATAGCTAATATAGCTTGAATTTAAATGCAAATAACTTTGAGGTATATATTAATTCAACGCATTAAATTTAAGAGGAATTTATATACCTATTACATAATTCTCATGCATTTATATATCTCACATTTAAATATTTTTATTTATATATATATAACTTTATTTTTTTAAATCCATACATGAAAATATTAGTACTATTTTATGTGATATTAAAGATTTAAGTGCTATGTCTGTAAATATAAAAATTTGTGCGAGATATGTAAATAAATTAGAATTATATATTATGTAAATAAATTAGAATATATATACCTTTAAAAATAATTTTGAGAACTATTTAAAATTATTCAAGGAGAAAAATATTTGAAAATATAATTGTGAAGCTGTTATAAAAGAAACTGTTATTCAAAAAGCTAAGGTGAGAAGTACAAATATGTTTTATTTTCAAAAAGTTTGGTCATAGCTTTTAGCACATTGTCACGTATGGCTCAGATATCATATAAAGGACAAATGCTGGAGCGGAACGGAGTGAGCAAAGCAGAGTGGAATAATCAGTCAAATTGGGGGAGTTTTGTTACGTGGGTTGAGAGTGCGGGGGCAACGCCCCCGCGGTACGGTACATGAGTAATTTGATATTTACATATTGTACTTCAAGGTTATATATATGCATGTCTGTAACCCTAGGGATTATTCTGTATTTTGCACTTTTTTTCTGAATTGAAGGAAAGTTGCCGCTCTGCTCCCGAGGACGTAGGCATATTTGCCGAACATTTTTAAATCTTTGTGTGTTCTTCTGGATTTGTGTTGTTCTTTGCCCTGATCTCTCAACAAGTGGTATCAGAGAGATGTTCTACAACAGAAAAATTTTGGCGCAGGGACAGAGAAGATTTGGTAGAGGAAATTGGCACAGAGAAGTTCGGCTAAGGCTTCGACAGAGAAGTTTGGCGAACAAAACCTTCAATAAAATGACAAAATATATAGAACAATGAAATAAACTTTAAACTACAAAATAAAATAAACTCTAATGACAAAGCAAAATAAAACGAGAAAACAACAAAATAAACGTAAAAACAACAAAACAAAATGATAACAAAACGACATGAACTATGACAAAAAAAAAACAACCAGATAGTATTAAATCTTTAAAGATCTACCACCCATAGAATAGGACTTTGATGTTCTTTTCCTAGAATGTCAATATAATTTGAAGACTCATTTTCTCCAAAGTGAAGAGAGAGAGAGAGAGAGAGTATTTAAAGCCACTCGAGCTGGGCATTTTGGTTATTTGGTTAATAGCTCCAATAATTATCCGATCTAACTACCCACACTGATTTTCTTTATCATGAGTTTTTTCTATGAGTTGAAAGACTTGATGACCCCATAATTGGGTAATCTTGTACTCGTTTAATTCCTCTTGTCGAGACATTCTAATTGATTGTATGCATGTCAAACTTGGAGTTAATCTGACCTTTCAATTAATTACCCAAAGTCTTGAAATGTGGTTCAATTGCTTGATTCAGGTTTGCTCGGACTTGTATTGGACAAATCAATTTATAGGGTTCGTCTTGAAAGGGCAATTAGTTTGTCTCAAAATTTGTTGAAATTGGAGCTCTAGATGATCTTTAATTTGAATCAAAATATTTTTTGCTAAAAAAATATTATGAAATTCATGTCAAATGATAAAATTTCTTAACGACACATCAATTATGAAAAAATATTTACATCATACTCACTGAAAAAAATGCAAATAAAAATATAAAAGTTATTTTAAGAATCTCTTAAGGACAATTAATCTCTTGTATGAGTGTAAACTAGTTGAGGCGAACTTGAGCCACTATGAATTGAGTAAGGGTGCGTTTGGGAGAGCTTATTTACAGCGGTGACATTTTCAAAATGCTACCTTCTGTTTGGAAAAGGAGTTTCTAATGCGTATTTAAAAACTCCGTTTCTTTTTTACTATTAGACGCGGATCACGGGGCATTTCAAAGAGCCGAAAGACGAAAGTTGCCCTTGCGCCTCACTCCTGATCTCTGTCAGGCAACAATTACAGTAAATCGAGAACTTATCTTGATAAAGGGAGATGAGACAAGAAAGGCGAGCAGCTGAAACTGCTGTGAAATCTTCCTGCGCGATTTGAGAATGGAGAACAAGGAGAAAATTCGTGCCGAAGAAGGAGAGCTTTATAGCAGCAAATTGTTTCGCCCGTGCGAATGAGAATTGGGAACAAGAGAGCACTACTAGATCTCCGTTCGATCACCTTCGGGGCAGTTCGTAGCAGGATTTGAGTAGGATTTTAACCTAAATTCAGAGAGATGGGAGTCACGCTACAGTCAGCTAAGGGTTTAGGGCAGGAAAGGAGGATGTAGAAGGCATCTTTAATTAGTTTTATAATTTAATAGATAAGCATTATTGAAATATTATTAAGATGAATTTATTCTTGATTTAATTTATCTATTACTAAGCATTGATTGTTTGATATACTATCATAAACTGATTATAATTTGAGTAATTTATTATTGAAAACAATTTATTTTTGTAAATAGGTAATTAATGATTAACATACTTAATAATATAATAATATTAGATTAAATTAAGTTAAATTTGTTAATTATATCATTAATAATTAATATTGATTAAAACAAATGAGGAATTATATACTCAACAATAAAAGTTTCCTACTTATGTATCACACCCTTAAACACTAATATTTTTTTGTAATTTGATTTTTTTATAATTAAATAAAATTATTGAAAGTATCATAATTTTGTAATGTTATGAAATTATATTTTTTGTTCTGAACTGTCAAATGTGCAGCCGTTAAAGATATAGTGCAAACAACAACATAACGCCTGTTAGCATGTTTTTTTATTCATAAAAGCTGCAAATCAGTTGTTTTCCAAACGCACAAACCAAACAACTAAACAACTTATCTATATCAATGGCAAAATGATCATTTATCCAAAATCAGCTGTTTTTGAAACACACAAACCAAACAGTTAGTCAGCTTAACAGGATAAGCTGCTGATCAACAAATTATCAGGATAAGCTGAATAAGCTGCAGCTGCCTCAAACAGACCCCAAGTATAATTCTCTGAATTTAAGTTGGTTCACATACCAACTTGTTTATTAAGAAGAGCAAAAATAATATTAATTATAACTAGTGTTATAATAAAAATGATAAATAAGCAAAAAATCTTAGAAAAAAAAGGGAAATTATCTTATTTTAAATGAAACATTTAATTTTCTTATATATATATAAGTGAAAATTTGACTTACCTCGATTTTTATATATATGAAAATTTGAAGTGAAAATTATACAATGGACCAGAAACAACAGTGAATCAAGTCACCGTAATTCACATCAGAGCGATACAGATTACTTTCCTTATCCTGCCGAACTCTCTCTCAATTCTCCCCGCTTCCCCTCGCCTGAATCTCATCTTTCTCAATCCTCACTACTATCTCTGAACTCGATTTGGTGAATTTCGTAATGCCAGTCACCCTCACGGGTTGCGGGATCCCCACAAATCCAACTCGCCTTTTACCATCTCCACAGTGTTGTGCGGCTGTGAGATCTCTGGAAGTGACAGAGATCAGGGTTTGCGTGAACCGTAGCTGCGGGAAGCAAGGTTCGAGGGAGACGCTTGAGGTCCTCTCGAGCATCGCGCCACATGGGGTCGCCATTGCCTCTTGTGGCTGCCTAGGTCGCTGCGGTGCTGGCCCCAACCTCGTCGTTCTCCCGGGTGGTGACATCATTAGCCACTGCGGCACGCCGGCGAGGGCGTCTCGGCTGCTTGCTGACATCTGTGGCGATGAATTCGATCCGTGGAGGAACCTGGAGGTTCTTTCTTTAAGGAAGAAAGGGGAAGTTGAATTGGAGAAAGGGAATGCCTCTGAGGCTGTGGCACTCTTGAATCAGGTGAGCGTGTTGCATGGCCTTATGGTTTAGTGGATTTGGGAAGGATCAAAGGAGGGACCATTATGAGCACTGGATTGATTGCTAGGCTTTGGGAGTCGTTGGTTTCCGAGGTTTATTCGGGATTTAGACTGGATTTAAGGTGAATCGTGCCAATTATTTTATTTAGGCTCTTTTCAGTCCTGAATCTCTTAAATTGAGGATTTTGATTAAAATACAGAATCTTACAAATCATGCGAGTTGCTGGATTTCAGGGGTTGAAGGTGTCGGATTTAATAAATTAGTATCTTACTGCCCTCCAAATGATTTTCAAATTCTAACTCGAATTAAAGATATTGTTAGCAAACAGTTCAGGATTTAATGTTTCCGGGTAGACTACAAACTGACTTTTTGGTGGGTGTAATAATGCCAGGCTATCGAGCTCAATCCTTCAGGAGGTCTGCAGTTCATCTACAAGGCTAGGTATTTTTTCTGTGATAAATAACAGATCGATTCTTTTCCCTTATGTTGATTCTTATTCTCGCATTTTATTTTAGGCTGAATGCAAAGTTCCTTTTAAATTGATTAACTGATTATAAATTGTACACATGCATTTTTAGGTATGTATATAAATATTTTATTTTGTTCCAGGTCAGCTGCTAAATTAGGAATTGGTGACAATGAAGGTGCTCTAGAAGATGCTAAGGAAGCATGTAAGATAGCACCTTATTTTCCTCAGGTACCTTATGATTTTTTGCAGCATCTATGTTCATTATCTACCATATCAAATATCTTATTTTCATTAGAGGACCTGATACAATTTATGAGAGACTCGCCATGTTATTTTTAAGAATTGCAAGCTTGGGTGCTCATGACCACTGGTGACATATATACTCCTCTTTTTTTTAGCGTTCATTTCATACCACCATGCAATCAGGTTATTTGTTTGCTTATTTGAAATTATAGATGAAATCTTCTCTAAGGGTATTGATTGTCACCTAAGCTTATAGCTTAAACTTGAAGCATAATAGCCATTATTCTGTTTTGAAAACCTTCTTGTACTGTTCAAGAGGTTGAGGCCAAAGTTCATTTGTTTATATTACATTTTACATAACAACTACAAAATATTTGAATTACTTAATTTATTCTCCCTCAGGATGGTGCTCCGTTCACCTTAGGTTGGCATTGAAGAATGTATAATTGAAGAGAATGCTGAAGGATTTTGTCTTTTTCTCTCCTATTTTCTTTGGACAAAAAGGATGAATTGTTTAAAATTTTGAGCAAAATATTAAAATCTTAAGTTATATTCTTGGATAAAGTTTAAGCATGGATTCTTAAAGTTGTTTGGTGAAACTTCTGATCCAATTAAGAAGGTTATTCCATATTGGCATAAAACAAGATATGAAGTCATTGTTTGTTGTTTACAACCCATTTCATTATGGGGCTCTTGAAAATCTCGTGTTTGGGTGACAATACACACCAAGGAAACCCTTAACAGTTAAACTAGATGTAATAAATCCTAATACATGCTTGGGTATGGATTGGGTACTATTTTATCCTTGTGATTTATGCTAAGATGGTGTTCATTATAAATCACAAAGAAGATGATTGTCATTAGTTGCTTTGGAATTAATGCACGATGATTAAGCCCTGATGGGCATTCCTTGGTATTGTTTACCTTTTGTATAGTTTCTTGACAATGAATGGATGAAAAAGGGATGTTTATCGAGATTTTGTAAGTATGAAGTGATTTAAAGTTTGCTTGAACTAGGTTTGGTTGTTGTAGTGTTTGTATTGCTGATATGAAGGCAATTTTTGTATGAAATTTGATGTGAGGTCCTTACTTTTCACCAAAGTTTTTAAGTGTATTTTTACACAGAAATGAGTTGAACTTGGGGCAAAGATGATGGTTTAAAATTTTTTCTAAAAGCCTCAAATTAAGGCACTAAAAGATGCCTCATGGCTTAAGCCTTGCTATAATATTTTTTTTTCTGAGGCATACATCTTGAGACTTTATACCTCAAGGTATCTAAAGTGATGCTCCAATTAGGTCATTTAGAAAATAATTATATTATATTATATTATACATAATAAGTTGATATAACACCTCAAGAAATCAAAAAATAATTTATATATGATTACTTGATTATGTTATTAATTTATTATTTTATTTAAAATTATATCTGATATAATGTCAATTGATATATGGTGTAAGAAGAAAATATAATTATTGAATACGATTTGAAAGATACTAATAAAACAATTAGGCAATAATAAAATTATTCATATAATGATTCCTTAAAGATGATGAACATGAGAATTAGAATATTGTGAATCTTGATTCTCATACAATAACAACAACAACAACAATAAGCCTTTATCCCACAAGGTTGGGTCAGCTTCATTATTCCTTTTTCTCCATTGTGTCCTATTAAGTGTCATATTTTCATTTATATCTAATAGATTAAGATCATTTTTTATACAATATGCCATAGTCTTTTTAGGTCTACCTCTATATTTTTTAACAATAGTCGAATCTAAAACATACACTCTCTTAACTTGATCATCATATGATCAACGTTTAATGCGAACAAATCATCTAAGACGACTCTTTCTAATTTTGTTTGCCACTGGAGCTATGCCAACCCTTTCACAGAAAAATTCGTTTCACATTTTGTCTCTAATTGTCAAGTCACTCATCCACCTAAGTATTTTCATCTCAGCAATGCTTAACTTTGTTTTGTGCTTTTCTTTTAAAGGCCAATAGTCTGTGCCATAAAGAATTGTAGGTCTCATCACCATCTTATAAAATTTTTCTTCAAGTCTAAGTGGTACTTTTCTATCAGACGATAGATCCAATGCATTCCTCCATTTCAAGCAACTTGAATTCTACTAATAAAAAACCCATTTATATCACCATCACTTTGAACAATAGCCTTGAGATATCTAAAACATTCACAGCTTTTAATGATTTGATCACCTATAATTATAATTCTATCACTAGAGCTACTACTACTAAATTACATTCCACGCATTCAATTTTAGATCTACTTAAACAAAGGTCTTTAAACTCCAATGTAGACCTTCATAATTCAAGTTTTTCTTGAACCATTTTTCTAGTATTATCAAGAAAGATATCATCAAAGAAAAGCATACACCAAGGTACATCCTCCCGTAAATAACCAGTAAGAGCATTCATAACTAAAGCAAAAAGATACAAACATTTTATATAAAATTTTTGTAGCAATAGCTTGGTGTATTTAAATTAAAAGTGAATGTTTCTCCTAAATCTCATTTTAAATTTTAATATTATATAAACATTTAAAATTGAGATTTTTAGTTTGTCTTTATGATAATAAATTAAATCAATATATCAATATTTTATGTTATATTTATGAATCATTTTTAATTCTATAATTTTTTCTATTGTAAGGCTTATAACTCGCCTCACTAAAGGCAGAATGCCTCAATTCTCAATTTCGTTTAAATTTTGGTTTAAACCTTTAAGGATTATAATTTTGATATACAATATCATTCGAGGAAGATGAATATTGTTGGCTTATTGTTGTTGCCTTCAACATAAAATGTCATGCAATGCAAATGGCTAGTTAATTTCCTAGTTGGCACAAATGATATATCCCATAGATATTGATAAGTTTGAATTATCAGTGATTGAATTTATCGATGAGGATTTGGCTTGGTTAAACTAGTTGATGTCCAATCTATTCTAAAGGATAAGATTCGGGAGTCTAGGGAAATTTCCATAGGATATGCTTAGAGGGTCATGAATCTAACATACATAAGATTAAGAAATTGATGAAAATGCATTATGAGCTACATAGGTAGAGTATGTGTTCCTTATTTATATGATTTGAAGTGGGATGTTTATCAGGAGGCACATTACTCTTGATATTGCATGCTGGCAATATGATGTATGAAGTGCTAAAAAAATTATTGTGATGGTCAGAGATCAAGACAAGCATAACTAATTCTTTTTTAAATGTCTTGCATGTAAAATGGTTAGGATTAAGCTTCAAAAGTTGAGTAGATTATTGCAGCCTGCCTATACTAGAATAAAAGTAAGATGATCTGATCTTTACATGAAATTTACTGTTCTATTAAGATAGAGACAATGTCATGATGCTATATAGATTGTTGTTGATAGATTGGTCGAATCGGCTCATTATTATTTAGGCTAACTAATTTTGTTGAAAAGATGGCCAATTTTTTGTGAATAAGATCTTCATAATTCTTACTTTAGAATATTTGCCTATGTCATATGTCCTTTTCTTTGATGGACGTTGGAAAATGCATGCAGATTTGATAGAGTTATTCTATAACAACAATTTACAGTTTTGGAATGACAGCATTTCATCCACTGTATGGGTGAAAATGCAGAATAACTTTATGTTGGATTAAAGTTGACAAAAGAAGGATCATGTGTTTAGAATTTGGAGATGAGGTCATTTATAAGAGTTGACTGATTTATGATAGATTGAGAGCTTTATATGGCAAATAAAAGAAGAATTGTGCTGTCATGCATTGATTAATTGATTGATCAATGGAATTTTATACATGTGACTGTGCTTGTCAAGGTTAGTCCGATGAAGAGCGTTAATTCAACAAAATTCGGAAGGTAGCTGGAGACATGTATTGTTGAGAAGCGGATGTATGAAGAACATGATGTGTTCACCACTTCATCACTTTAAAAGTATGTAGATGATTAGTCGAGTTAAGTGATCCCATATTTAATAAATTTCTAGTTTAATCTTACTTACATGAAAGAATTAGAGACTATGGGTCTACGTGGTACAATGACTTTGAAGCTGAACATTCTTTACATATTAGTTTTGTGGAAGAATAGAATGAAGCAAGAAAGTATGTGGGAGAAGGAATCGGAGATGTGAGAGCACTATCCACATCTTGTAACTTGAGGTATGATTTCTATTTCCACTTCATAAATTTTGTGGACCAAAAATTGTGAGTGGAAATGTAACGATTCTAAAAATTATTACCATAATTAAGGACCAGTTAAATTTTTTAGAAAAATTCTTTTAGCTTGATCGTTAAGTCTTTAACATGATTGAGAGATATCATGACATAACGTGTATACGATGAGTAATTCTTAACATTTTTTTTCACACATGCATTCCCAAATGCACGCACACGGCATATGCAAGGCCTTGAACCAAAGTCTTCTTCGCTGAAAGACATAACTCTCAACCATTAGTCAAGGTGGCTTGCTTGACTAGCTATGGCATGTGAGCGAGGCAGGAGGGCTAAGTGGATTGGAGAGAGATCCATCAAGCAAATGAGCCAATGAGCTTTTACTATGGTTTGAGTTGAATGGTGGGGTTTAACTCCGCTTTTAGGGCTGGAGAAGGACGGTGATGCGGGGAGTGGGGCTGCTTGAGATTAAAGATGGAAGAGGAAGGAAGATCTAGTGCTTTTTCTCTTTTTTTTTCCCCACTTCTTCCCTGGTATAATCATTACAGACCTTAACCCAAGATTTGTTATTACAAGTTTGTATGTGATGTTGCTTGATGATGATAATGTTGATCAAATTTAAATAGGATGATAAATTTATGTGATGGCTTAGTAATGTTTAATTAGGATTTTGGGGATTAAAGCCATCTAATCTTAGTTTCTTCTCAACTCATCGTTATGCATGAGTTCTGATTTTACGGAAGGGAACTCAGCATAGTCTAAGGAATAAGAAATTCATATTGTGTTCAAGTCTTTTACATGTCATTGTGGTTTACAAGTCTCGACCATAGTGATGGTTGAGATCGATGGGCTCATTCATTTAAAATCATTTAAGCAGACAATTTCATTTATATTTATGATTATTAAGTTCAAGTTTCTAGACTTATTGCAGTTAAGATATATGTACTTATTCAAGTTTTTGTTGATAGATTATTTAATATGTCAAAATCATATTGTGATTTGTTGTGATCCTTTAAAAAATGTTTATATTACAATGTAAGTTGCATGTCCAGCTTCATAGTTTGAGTTTTTTGAACTGATGTGATTATTCCATAGTCTTTTATGAGCTACACTATGCTTGTGTCGACAGGGGATGCATCAGCTAGATGTGTTTCCTTTTATATTATTGTACTTGAAAAATAATATAGATGTATAAGCTATGTTTCTTTTATACCAACCATGGATATTTCGACCTGTGACTGCTTAGGTTTAAAAGATGTTAATGTTACTAGGGCTTCCAAGGCAGTATGCTTAATTACTTCTTTTGTAATTCAGAAACTTCGTCACTCTACGGTGTGATTTATGATGATATTGATATTCAAATGCAAGGTATTGTCTATAACATCAGATGTGATGATATGCAATGTTCGTTATGTGGTCCACGCATGAAAATAATTGCTATTTCAAATATCATCTTTATGCATGGATCATAACAATGTTCAACGGTGAACATGCATTTTATTTTCTTTTTCACTCTGATCACGATTGCTTAGAATTTTTTCATACTTATGAAGTTATATATATATATATATATATATATTTATAGCTTACATTTATTTGGCAATAACTACTTTTAGAAAAGCCTATGATGAACTAGATGACTTGTAAATAAAATTTTGTATACAATCAATTAGGAGCATCTTAGGTTTGTCTAAATATGGTATTTGAATGGTATAGTTTTAGACGTTTTTGTTTAGATAACAATTTTTTATGGTATAATGGATTTCTTGAACTAGAGTTGTTATGTTTGTCTAGATGGATATTGTTTGGTGGACCAAATGAGAATATTTCTAAATGTTACACGTATATGTAAAACTTTGTATGTTGCGGCCGTTTGAATGAAAAAAAGTATAGATTTGTCAATTTTTTTTTGCTTTGGATGATTACTATGGATGATTATAAATTGTTCTTAATTACTATTTGAAACGCATGTAAAATACCTATGAAATCACAAGTTATCCACATCGGTCTATCCCTGTTGTTTCGTATGTATATGTTTTAATAATGGTAGGTTGAGCACAACTGGACATTTCTTCCCCTCTTATTGCCACCATTCTTTTCCATATCAGTTTATAAGCTTTTGAGCAATAGTAGTCTCGAGGTGCGGCATCAAGCTAACATCGAGTCTATATTCAAGTTGTTGGTGATGTAGGATTAGCCTATGATTTGAAGCATTATTTGTGCTCGGTCGATCCAAAGGGATATTTTTGGAATAAAATTCATCATTTATTATCATGAAATGATAAAATTGGCCTCTAAGAAAATGTCACTCGCCGAACTTAATTTACTCTTAATTGTCACCATTTATGCTTTAAACATACATGAATATACTAATATTATAAAATATTTGAGTTTTTGAACTAATTATGCATTAAAATTTGTTTATTAAGTTCATCTTAGTTTTATGTTTACAGATGCCTAAGATGCTGACAATTATCAATGGTGCAGGCGTACATTTGCCAAGGTGATTCTTTGCTGGCAATTGGGGACTTAAATGCTGCTGAGAAGGCTTATTCAACTGCTTTGAATATTGATCCATCTATTCGCAGGTCCAAATCATTCAAGGTACCAATCAAAAAGTAAAACCCTCTACATTGTTATAATTTGTTCTTTCTGGAATGCAATGATTGCTGAAATATATGGTTTAATTTCTCATTTTAAGCACTTGTTAATGGGAGGTACAGGATTGATGGCAGCCTTATTCTGAATTATTACAGAGAGGCAGTTTTAGTCTCAGTCCGTTTGGAATTTGTTGTAAAAATAATTGTAGAATCATTACGATAATAATAGGTTTTTTAAAAACTGTTGTTGGTATTATAAATTTTTTTTCTCGATGATTATTTTCTTAACTCTTAACAATTCTAATTCAAAAAGTTGTTTTTCACTGAAAAATTTTTTGAGAAGCAGCAAAAAAGCTATAGTTTAGTAAAATTAAGTTAAGCAGAATGAAAAGCAAAATAGTGAAATCTTTGCTTGAAACAGAACTCTGGCAATCCAAACTTATAATATTCAATCACTGAACCAATGAAGTTTGCCATTGGCAGTTTAAGACTACAAAAGAGGAGACAAGAAGGAAAAAAAGAAGGTACAGCAGACATGTGGCATTTTGGGAAAGGTTTAAAAAGGAATTATAGAGCTTTTTAGTTTGTTGGAAAATGAATGCAATGTTGAAGGAATATTTTGTGATTAAAGTATAGTGTATTTAATATATTTTAGAATAAGAAAAACAAATGCATGAGTTTTTTTTTTTTTTTTAGTTTGAACTTGGTGACGGTTGGCAACCTGCGAGGCAGCAACAGTCAAAAGGCGGCATTAAAGGTTGGTATTGACTTGAGAGGCAGGCGGCGGCGGCGGCAGTGGTAGGTTGTAGGTGGTAGACGATAGGCGGCTACTGGTGGCTTGGCGGTTGGCAGTTGTGGCATGTTTCTATAGTGTATTTAGAAATTGAGCAATTTTGGCATATATGGAATAGAAATGATCTACAAAATGAGTTTGGATTTTCATGGAATTTTACGGCATAGTTAAAATTTTTTAAACCAAATATCAAAATTTATAAATTCTTCGTGTTCCAAATACAGTGCACAAAAAATAAATAACCAATGTTCCTTATATTTGAGAGGATGCTCATTTCGATTGCTTTCTTAAACTCCATTAATGCTTTTCTCACCCCTTGGCAGGCGCGAGTTGCAAAACTTCAAGAGAAGCTCCTTGTTGCGAGCACTTAATCCCGAACTCTCTCACTTGAACGGTTGCTGCTGTCTGCTTCAAAGTTTTCTGACATGCCTCAAGATCACACAGAATTCGGTGCCGAAGTATCATAGGCTTTAGAAAACGATAAAATAAGATTTCATCATGTTTTTAATGTAATTTGAACTCTACAAAATCCGAGAAGGGCAATTTATGTACATGCCATAAAATATTTTCTATTTATATATTTAACTCCTAAAGGACGCACCTCAAAAGAAAAAGAAAATCCCAAGGGGAAATGGAGGAGCTTGTGATCTCAAAACTGGTAGGCAGAGGGTTGCATTAAAAGCCGGTAATTATGGTTTTGATACTCTATAATGTTTCTGCATATTGGAAGCTCTAACTGGAGTTGACTAAAAAACTACTCTAGTTTTGGGGAGACACAAGGAAGGATAGCTTAATGTCACATTCCCAAAGAGCTCTTACGGCTGGTGGGCAGCCCAGAACTTAAATATTGCTTTTCGGCCTTGCACCTAGCCGATGTGGGACTTTTTGTCCGTGACATTCTCCTCCTTCCAATCACGTGACGCCCTCGTCACAGATGGGCTCCACCGAGGGTCCCATTGGATCATGTCGAGTCCACAGACCTGACAGGCAGTAATCTGCTTTGATATCACTTGTCACATCCCAAAGAGCTCTTAGGGGTGGTGGGCAGCCCAGGACTTAAATACTGCTTTTCGGCCCTTTCCTGGCCGATGTGAGACTTTTTGTCCGTGATATTAAGCTCTTGTGAGCCTGGCTCTATCATTGTAGAATGTATTTGATTTTTAGGTTTGATGTGATGAAGGAGAATTATTATGTGAGGACAAATTGGAGTACAATATTGTATATTTGTTGCGAAATTTATTTATATGTAATATACACAACAGTACATAACTTTGCAGTAAAAAAGGTGTGAAAAATGAGTACAAAGTCTTAATTTGTTGGTTTGAAAACATGATTTCAGCTTCCAAGGATGCAAATTGTCATGTTCAGCAATGAAACAATAAGGATATGCCCTCAATTTTCCTTTAAAAAAATGAGGAACAAATTTTCCTTAGAAATTTCTGTACTACTAATTTTTTTATCTTTTTCAACGCACTCTCTTCTCTCAAATTTCATTCATCATTATAAATGCTAACTATGAGGACATTCATTTCAGTGGCGACTAGGTTGAAAACAATGAAAACATTATGAAAGCTTCGGTTTGTTATTAATATTATTTTAATTCAACCCAAGCTTATGCAAAGCATTCAACTTAGTGGAGAAATAGTGTTATTTTTATGATTGGGCTTAAACGGAGCTGCAAGGTGAAAAGCTCCAGAAAGCATCCATTTCATTTTTAGAAGTTGTTTCTATAATATAGTGACTATTTTCTTAGCTGCTTTTGAAAGAAAGGAAACAGGAATGAAGTTTTAAGGTGATGCCTTGTTCGCTTTTGAAATAAGAAAATTATATCTTGCTTGGATAAATTTTATATGTCTAGATTTCTATTTACCTACACAGGATTCTTACACACACAAACACTTAAAACTTTTTTATATTTTTTTACTGTAGCTTTGTTGTGGAATAGTATTTTACAGGTGTGAAGAAATCTTTCGGTGCATGATTGTAAATGTTTTATCGGTGGTGGCGGCCGGGCGATAGTGGCCGGAAAGCAATGGTCCAGTGGTATCGGTGACCCACCGGTGGTCTGGCAACGACAACAACTAAGCAACAACGATCTAGCAACAGTGGCCAATAAGGGGTAACAGTGGCCAATAAGGCAGAACAGTGGTCCAGCCGTGGCAACAACTCAACGACTGTAGTTGGGCAACGGTGGTTTGAAGATGGAGGCTGTCAGTCGGCGGAACCCCAACGGTGGTGGAGCTTAGGAACCCTCAAGAGCTTGATGCTCCTACAACTTTCTCCACCATGTCCAAGTCCCTAGTCCCCTTTTATGAAGAGAGTGAGGGTCTATTTATAGAATTTGTGAATGACAATCTCTGTTCAAACTGGATGAAGATGATCCACTCCATCGAACGACCCAAATTGATCCTTGCGATTAGATAATGTCTTATGAACATTAAAGTGCATTGATGTCAGAATTGAGTGATCTTACACTCATTGTATTTTGTTCAACAAGACACTCAATTTAATTATAAGCTTGTCATATTTAGAATCTATTTAACCATTCAATTGCCCATCAAAAGTTCTCTGTTGTGTTTAAAAAACTTAATCTAGGTTTGATTGGACTTAGATCGAATTAGTTTTTGATTCATTAGGCTCTCCTTATCCAGACGATGAGTTTCATGATAAACCTGTTGGAATTGGGCCCTGGATGATCTTGAATTTGCATCAAGGATATTTATTATTTAAAATGCTCAGAGATTCATACAAGATTAAAATAATTTTTTGAGAAGGAATCAAGAGTGAATATTTAAATATTTGTTTTAATGAAAGAATTATAGTTCTCATCAAAATATTTTTTCATATTTCTTATTATGAATTATAAATGTCATGCAATTCCATAACTAAAGTGAGACTATGGGGCTATATGGCAACGGATTTAAATATTGTTAACTTAAATTAAAGTAATAATCTCCTCCTTAAAGCCCTCAGCCGTAATTTGTGTACAAAATAAGAAACCCAGATTAAACAAAGTCAAAATTTATAATAAAAAACGAGTAAAATGGCAAAATAATCGTCCGATTATTTTATCTAGGCCATTTTAACTTTAGAATTTATAAAATTGTTAAATTTTTGAGCTAAAATCATAATTGGTAGGGACTAATTCAATCGATATTTAACAAATCCCTGAATAAAATTGACAATTTTATAAATATTGGGATTAAAAATTTATAATAATCTGCTTCAAAAAATCATGGATCGTTTTAACATTTTTCTTAATAACAAACATAAGAAAAAAAGTCAAAATTGTTTCATAGATTTACAATTGAATCAGATTTAGCTTCCGTTTGGGGCAGCTTATTTGGTGTTGTGGCGTTTTGAAAACGCACCTGACTTGTTTGGGTAAACTGAGTTTTGACAGCTTATGCGATTTCAAAACGCCAAAAACAGCGTTTTCACACCGCACCTATCTAGGTGAGGTGACAACTTTCTGGCAGCTGTCTGGCTTTTAAAAAAAAAATTGTAATTGTCACCGCACCTAGCTTATCAGCAGATTATTTTTAATCAGCTTTCAGAAGATTATTCAATAAGCTGCAGTTGCCCCAAACAGGCCTTAGTGTCTGTTTGTGGCAGCTTATTTGGTGCGGTGGCGTTTCGAAAACACATCTGGTTTGTTTGTGTGAACTACGTTTTGACAGCTTATGCGTTTTCAAAAGCAGTGTTCTCACACCGCACCTATCTAAGGATCTGTTTGGGGCAGCTGTTGATTATTTATAATCTTTATTATAATAATATGATAGTCTGCAGATTATAAGAATAAGCTGACTAGCTGTTTGAGACAGCTTATTCAGAACAGCTTACTGAGAGCTGTTGTTGCATAAATGATCATTCTGCCCATGTTTGGTTAAGCAGTTTGCAACAGAATTATTTATGCAACACAACAGGTTTATGTGATTCAGCCAATGACCTACATCTACAGAAGGCAATCCACCAAAATTTTATTAAGCAAATTTGTAAAATTACAGAGCTATGAATCTTATTTGAAGTTTACTACAACATGCTCTCAACTGAACAAGCTTCATACATAACATTACATTATTCCATTCTCTCACAAATAACAGGAATCGAAAATAAATTCATATGGTTGAAACAAATAAGCCCCAACATAAACTCCAACATAAAGACCAAAACTGTAGCATAAAGCCGCATAAAACATAGCCAATATTCTATAAAACCAAAAAAAAGCTTCATAATTCTTCACATTGCTTGCCACTATTCTATAACCATTGCCACTATTCTAGACATTGACAAAATAAAGACCAAACTGCAGCTCCAATGCATTTCCACATTTCCAATATAACCATTGCCACTATAACCATATAACCATCTAAGCTCCGATAATGAATAGCAATAAGGAAGATTAACATGCCTACCACTCAAGTCTATTGATCAAATGAAGCCAAATCTAAAGTAAACATGAAACGAAAAAAAAAATCTGTTTTGTAATCTTACAGAAAAAGCAATTTCTCTGTATATATCTATGAAAATCCTTCATAAAAAATATGAAAAATTAATTTCTCAATGAAATATCTGCTATGTAATCAAGCTCTCCCTTAAATAATTTTTTTAAGTTTCCTCCATAAAAAACATAAAAAAACATTTTCTGTGAAAATTGATCGCATGAAAGAAAAAAAAAAAATTCGAATCATTTCTTTACTGGAGACATGAACCCTTAAATTGCGAATCATAGAACTTGGATGAGTATACCTCACGATCCACGAACTACAGAGGAGCGGGATCGAGGAACAGAGGAGATGGGAAAACTTGATCGCACAGTTAGGGCAACGACAGAGGAGTGGGATCGAGGGACAGAGGAGACGAGATCGAAGGGATGAGGGGTAATAAGCTCACCCTAAACGCAGAACGCAGGCCTCTCGGAGCGGCGAAAGATCCAGAGAGGAATAGTGAAATACCATACGCGCGGTAGCCGACCGCCGGAGTGAACGAGCAAAACAAATTGGATCACGGCATTACAAAATCGCCGGATGCAACATATAAACTACGCCAAACGGACCCTAAGTGCGATGACAGCTTTCTGGCAGATGTTTGACTTTTCAAAAAAAATAAATAAAAATTTATAATAGTCACCGTATCTAGCTATCTAGCTTATTAACATATTATTTTTAATCAGTTTATCAACAGATTATTCAATAAGCTGCAGCTGCCCAAAACAAGCCTTTAGATTTGACTCTTCACAATCCATAACAAGTTGAACTTTTGATATATAAAAAAATTGAACTCTCAGCTTTATTTGAAAATCAAACTCTTAAATTAATAATTATTAATTAATTATCTAATCACAAATCTCATTTCATTTTCTATAAATCTTACTGAAATCAAATCAAGATGAAGAAAAAAAATGCTGCAAAAAAGAACAATTTCGATACACAACAAATATACAAAAAAATATATTTGATTTTAAATGAATTAATATTAGTGATACTATAAATAAAGAAAATTATGATCATTATATAAATCTCCAAAATTACTACTTAATGAGTAATTAAAAAAGGTAGTCAGGCACTATCTCCATCTAATCCACACTAAACACTTATGGACAAAAAGCGTATAAACCCTAAAACGAAAATTAACTTTTCATCTTCTAAAACGAACTAACCGTGCCCTAAAAAAATCAGCAGCACCGATAAAATCAATTCCGTCTCATTCCGCCGACACCCGACTGCCGGAAGTGTGCGACGGCGACGGATATGAGACCGCCGATGTGTCGTCCGACATTGAATCATCAGCATTGGAATCGTTCTTGACTTTCCCCCCGCCATCACCAGCGGCGACTCCGGCGGCGAGGTTCCGGCGAGCGGTGAAGACGAAGTCCTCGGCGCTGTCACATGTTTCCTGTAGTAACTCAAACTTTTCCCTGAGATTCTGAATCGCCGTTTCGCTCTCCGGCGTACGGAGGCCGGCGGAGGAGGTGTGGTGGCTGAGGAAATGCGTCGCGGCTTTCATGAAGTCGTCGAAAGCTTCGCTCATTGCGTCCACTGCGCGCTTCATGGCGAGGAGATGGGCCGGTGAAGCGATTTTGGGGGAGGCTTCAACGGTTAAAGTGACGAGTTTAATGTAAGGAAATCGGGGTTTTTAGAAAATGTATTATTCATTGGGATTTTTTGTTGATGTGGATTGGTCACTATTTATCATGATTGCATGACACAGTTTCCTCTTTTTATTCGTAGTCGTGTTACTAATATTGCAAAAAGTTTTTGTAAGGAGATAATTATACATTTTGTATTAAAATAATATATATATATATATTCTAAAAGAAATGGTCTGAGACTATTATAAGAGCCTTGGCTATTCCCGATGTATCTAACAATTCGAGTATCATACCCTCCACTGGAGAGAATCGAACGCCATATCAGATGAGACTTACAACTGACAAGTAAATGTCCGACTAGCTGATCTGAGTATATGCGACATATATATATATATATATATATATATATATTAGATAGATAGGGTGGGATGAGTGATAGGGTGGGATGAGTGTTTGGGAGAATTCTTTATATTATTTATAATCACCTTATGTTACATATTTTTAATACTAAGTAAACCTTTTTTTTTTTAGATAGATAGGCATCTTAGAATTCTTTATATTATTTATAATCACCTTATGTTACATATTTTTAATACTAAGTAAACCTTTTTTTTTTTAGATAGATAGGCATCTTAGAATTCTTTATATTATTTATAATCACCTTATGTTACATATTTTTAATACTAAGTAAACCTTTTTTTTTTAATACAAGTGTTTGGATGCAAAATTCGATGCTAAAATGTCAATAATTTTTCATCATTCTATAATATTTTTCAATGCAAATTAGGCGGTAATCCTACACTAATATTCATCGTTTGATATTTTTAAACTCAAATATTGAGACATGTTATGTATAATCAAATCCGACGCTAATACGACGTAAGAACCGACACAAATAATTTGTGTCAGAATATTTTTATATACATTAGAAGGGAATAAAATTATTGACCCCAATTTAAAGCTAGAACAAATCAGATGCAAATCCGACGCTAATCATTAAATATCATTGATTTTGCGTCTGATTTGTGTCTAATCTAACCGACACAACTATGCTTAATTTTTGTAATGATAGTGTAATCATTTCAACTAGGCCAGGTCATGTAATTTTTGCGCCTTCAGGCTTTTCCCCCGAAAGCTCCAGCTAATGTTTCATTCGACTTTTTTTTACCTGTGTGCGTTTCAAATCTTCGTATACTGCTATAACATTAATATATCACTCTATCGCCGCTTATTACGAGCACCCAACAATTATAATTATTGAAATTTAATCATGATGTAAATATTATGTTGTGCTCACATGCATTGCATTCATATTGAGAACATCTTTTTTTTTTAAGAAAATAATTAAAAAAAAATTAGCATGATAAAAAAGTAAAATTTTGCATTTTAAAAAGTTATTTTACTCGCGAGTTACGGCTCGTATTGACATCGAAAAATAATTGTGTTTTGCAATCTTCATTTCGAAGGCTGATCCAAATGAAAATGTATTCTAACAAGACACGAATTTAGATTTTTGAAAATAGGGGGGCAATTATTTAATACATTAATTCAAAGTTTATCCAATCAAATATAAAATTGTTGCAATCTTAAATTGGTAATTTAGGAAAATAAATAAAAAAATCATCCAAATTATGACTTCAACAAACTTATAGTTGTGCTGAATGTTCCGAATAAGTCAAAACCAATTCAAATTCAAATAAATCCCAATAAAATATTTGAAACATAACTAAAAACTAAGCCAAAAAAAAAAAAGCTAATGACAAAATAGTTTATGAATCTTACATGCTTATATACTCAAAATGAGTTTGTCAACTAGAGAAATCTAACAATCCCAAGATTATTTTTCTCTCGATGCAATATATATAAGATTATTTATTTATTTATTTTTTGTAAAAGAATGGCTGGAGGCTACTATACGAGCCCCCAGTCACCCTCATGTGTCTAACAATTCGAGGACCAGCCACACTGCCTGCAAAATTACCAGAGGGGGATTCAAACCGTGACCTGGGGGGACTTACAACCCTCAAAGAGCTGCTCTACCAACATAGCATGACTTATACATATCTATATCTATATCTATATCTATATCTATAGAGATATGCTTATCTCTAAAGTTACTAAAACGTCTAAATATTTGAATGAATGTTCTGTCAGCCAATCAATATGGGCTACATGAAGGAGCGCCTTATGGATTTTAGCAAGACTTACTGAATGTTTTTAAAGAAAATTATAAACAGAATATCATTTTCACAGGAGATGGATGAACTGAAGAAAGGCCTAGACTTAAAATTAGCAACACTTTAGATAACCAAAAAAGTATAGCTCCACTTGAGCCTTGACACCCATCACCACTATCATTACTCATTCACCATCTCTTAATCATTTTTTTTTTTCAAATTATCATCATCCAATATTCATCTCTCAAATATCATTATTGGATCGCTATCTCCTTTCTACTGTCTCCTGATCATCATCTCTTAATCACTATTAATAGACTGGCATCTATCAACTGTCATCTCCTAATTATCATCGTCAAACTGGTATCTCTTGATTGTCATCTTCCAATTATTGTTGATCTACCACCATCATCTCTTTGATTATTATCTCTCCATCATGATTGTTTGATTGTTCCCATTAACTCTTATCATTCGACTAATTGTCATCATTATTTTCTAGTACTTATTCCATAATATTTACTACAGTTGCAAGAGATCAAACACGTAAGCCCAACTAAATATTCATGTCTTCTCTAATTATGGGAAAGAACAAATTTTTATAACTTTATGTTTATAGAAGGTTATTTCAATTGAGTAGAGTAAGGCTCAATGATATTTTTCTTTTTCGAGATTTTTAAGTAAAAAATTGTTGTCTTCTTTCTTTTTTTCATTTATGTATTTGTGTTTGACATTTTCATGCAAAAATAAGACACGAGACATGTTCTCTATTTTATGTTTTTATTTGTTTATTTATTTTTTTTCACAGCATTCAATTAGCAAGAGCTTGGATATCTTTAGTTTTGCTTGATGATCAACTATATGACCACAACAAAAGCTCATTTGCCAATAACCGTTTATCATCTCTATATTACTGTTATCTGACTTTCATCTCCCGGGTATGAAGTATGGTTCATCATTTGATCATCATCACACTATTCCCATCAATCTTATGTCATCTCCCATCCATTGTCATTTCTTGATTATTGACACACGACCATCATCATTCAATCATTGTTATCACCCTTAACTACTTCCAGAATATATACTACAATCATAAAAAAAATTAAGCAAATGCTTCCGACTTTCTAATCCCGTCCTCTTCAATTAGAGGAAAGCGCAAATGCTTGCACCTTCACATACCTAATGGACTATTTCAAATGTGTTAAATACACAGTTTTTTTTTTGTTTTCATAATTTTTCACATAAATATTTTGATGTATCATTTTCACCTTTATTTATTTGTTTTTGTAATATCTTTGTACAAAATTAGGGTATTTTTTCTCTACAATCATAAATATTTTAACATTCAATTTGATGATTTCAAGTCATTAAAAAAAGATAACATGGCGAATCAGACACATCAAATAATTTGGTGGGACATACCTAAAAGATGAACAAAAGAGAACATATGCCGTCAGTCGAAATCATCTCATACTTTTATGCAATTTCAAACGAGAAGAGCTTAGTTTTATGGTTTGTTTAATGAGTAAAGCGCCAAAATAGTCCATGGGGTCATTTTAATCTCATAATTTATAAAAGTGTTAAATTAGTCCCAAAACTTTTTTAATGAGGGCTACAATTATTCTCATTTAAGACCATTTTAACATATATTAAAAGTGTTAGTAGACTAAATTGACGCTTTTTATAAATTTTAGAACTAAAATGACCGACTACAAAAAATTCAAGAATAATTTTAATAGTTTTCTTATTGTTTTTAAAGTAATTAAATATAATTTAAAAATTCTTAATTAACTTGATCCATCTTTTTTCAATTGAATATTATTGGATTCTTTTAGGACGCATGGCCATATAATTTGTTAGTTCATCCAACCTCAAGAGAGATCTTGTGAGATGAGTCGAGGAGGTGGAGAAAGATAGAGTCCAAGCTTGCGTCTTACTCTTACGGTTTTTTTTTTTCCTTCTCCCCTCCTCTCAGAGCGACTAAGGACTCCTCCATTTATATTTTTTATCGGGCCTTCTCCCCTCCTCTCAGAGCGATCTCAGAGCGACTAAGGACTCCTCCATTTATATTTTTTATCGGGTGTCATTGATTCTAGTAGGCTTATAAGAGAGAAAGAAATACACATATGATATTGTGGTCAGTACTGTACAAGGCTTATCGAATATTCAATATTAAAGAGATATCATCATGAATGTCAGGCGGCTCATCAATAACAATGATGGTGACGAGTTCCCACGAAGCCACCGCATCTGTAATATTTGAGACTTTGTGAGGAGAGCTCGACCGAGGAACATGCAAGGTCTTTCAATGGGTAAACTTTATTTCTATCATGATTGTCCATGTGATCGACAAATACCATTAATCAACTATACATAAGCAGCAAGCACATGAAAAAAATTCAAATTTCGGGAAAGAAAACAGGTCTAATAGGCCCAAAAGGCATTTTTTTACGTATAAAAATCAGGCTACTTTGAGTTTAGGATGTACAAATAAGAACACTATACATCAAACATGTGCTCCTTTCTCGGTCAAATGATTTAACCATTGCATCTTCACCAAATGATCAACAGATCTCAGCCCTCTACCCGGCATTTATGAGATCCACACCGTCCATTCTAATTATGCCTTCAATATTCTATGGAAGTTTGCGGGCGCGAATGTCTATCACACGGAAAGGAGAACCGGTCAGTCCACACATGTAAAATTGAGAATTGCAGAAAAGCATGACTGTGATGTCAACCAAATGGCGTCCTTCCAAACCACTGCATCGCATTCCTCAAAT